CTTGAAGTTTGACCCACAGGGTCTCAGTTAAGGCTTCCTCTGGTCCTATCTGAAGGTAGAACTGGTCAGGAGGGAGTGGCCCTGTTGCAGAATACAGAGTTTTTGGGCCCTAGTGACCATTGGTGATTGATAGCAGTAGGGCAAGTGAGGGCATATACAGCCACAATTGCTTGTCTCTTATGCTTGCCCTGTCTCTTCTGCTTCTGGCCCTGGTGCATGCCATGGCCTACCTGCATCAGGTAATGGAGGTAGAGCCATGGCTGCAGCTGCCAGCATGTGAACTGTGCTGGAGCCACCCCGTGCCTCAGGCTGAATCCAGCCTGCAAGGAACCTTGTGGTCCAGATCTGTCTTGAGGCATAAGGCAAGTCTCACACCCCTGGTTTAAACTGCCACCTCTTTCTTTCTGTAAGTGTTTTGAGAACTATATGCTGTTGAAGCCTAAATATAGACTTGCACCAAATTTAAGCTCCTGTATTTGGAAATATTGGCCTGTATCTGTGCAGTGACTATCTCATTTTGTCCCAGTCTTGATTTGAGATCTCTGGGTGTTATCATGAGAAAAATAATCTATGTAGCATGGGTGATATAATCAGTTCCAAAATAAAACCCACAGTTCACCCCCTCATTTCTTGTCCATCTGAAGAAGGGTTAATACATGCCTAATTTCGGTCCCAACCTTCCATGCAACTTTGATTGGGCTTTCTGGATTACACAATTAACTGCAAAGTGTTTCTTATGTTATTTTTTAAAATAAGCATGTAAAATAATGTACAGTCAATAGTTTGACTAATGTTTTGCTATCTCTCAAACTGAATTTTATTTTCCAAAAGTAAATGTATATAAAAATGAATTTAATTGATTCACTGTCTCCTGTATGTATTGGAAATAAAATAACCTCTCTCATCTGTGGAGGGCTTTATACTTAAAGGTTGAAAGGCTTTATTTTATGCATAGCATAGTAGCAGTAGGGTGTAGTATGCCTGCATATTATTTGCAGTATTTCCTGGTATGCCATGAGGGATTAAATGTCAAAGCAGATGCGTTGTAAGAACATTAATTTTAACCAGATACCTCTTGTAATTTTTAATTTAGTGAAATTGGCGAATGTAAGCTCCATCCAAGTTTGTTCCTTTTGCTTTTGATCCTGGGTAAGCTGTATCCATCTCCAATGGATGGCACTTATTCAGCGCTCAGTATGGCACCTTTTGTTCCTTTCATTATGAGGTAAGGTATCTGTTTCTGTAAGCTTTTATATGTTTTCTGCTGATTTTTCATGTAAAAGGAATCCTCTTTCAAAACTAGTTCTTCAGTTTATTTTGTGCTTTGCAGCATTCAGTCACCTGATAAATAGCTTATTAAATACTGTGTAATTTATTGGAGGGAAAACCCTCTTTTATTTTAACATATAATTAACATAACATATTAACTTGATCAAACTTTTTTGTCTCATACTAATTCATCTTTTATATGCAAAGATCATAAAAAATTCTGTTTTACAGCATGACAAAAGTATGTGGTTAGCTGCATTGTGTGTATATGTGGGTTTTTTAAAAACTTACATCTAAAGATGATATATATATATATATATCAAATTATAGTCACTGTTTGAGGCCATATACAGACACTCAGTTTCTACTAGGAGAATCTTTGCTCTCCTACACAAAATCATGAATGTGCAGATGTGTAGGATTTTAGTCCCAGAGAAAAAATGGCTACTCCAGGAGAAAAAATAACCTGGGAACAACCAGGATTAAATCATTTCCAGGAGAGTTTCTTGTGGGAGAGCCAATGCCTATACATGCTGTGGCTTGTATCCCAGAAGAGAACATAGTCCTCCAGCAACCTGGCAGCACTGCATGATCTCTACTCTTCTGGGCCTCAGTATTTAAATGTCTGTACACACAGCTCTGGATAAGTTTTTCTACCAGAAGAACAAACTTGGGAGAAATCTCCCAGATTATTTGAATCTGTGTGTGCAGTCTGAGATACCATACTAAAGTATGTGGTGGATGCATCTACACATGTGCTTTACTGTGGAGCTTGAGTAATTAGCTCCACAGTAAAGTATCAACCACATTAGGGCACAGTAAAGTAACTCTCCTGTAGGCTAGTACTGTCTCAGACAAGTACTATCCTACAGTGGAGTAGTTACGTGCGTCAAAATGCTCATGCAGACAGTGACTGGGGCTGGCTGAGGCACAAGGCTGTTACAGTGCGGGGGGTTGCCTGCTGACTAGCCCCACAGTGTAACACTCTCGTGCCCCAACCAGCCTCTCTGGCATGTTGAGCCAGGGCAGAGCAGCCCCGAGCTAGCAGGCTGATCTGCTGGGCTTCCTGCTAGATGGTTCTATGCGTCTATGTAAATGCTGCACTTGGGAGAAATAAACTCCAGCATGAATCATGCTAGAGTCTATTGCTATGTGCTAATTGCACATCTAGATGCACCCGGTGTGACTTAACTGATCAAGACCCTTATCTTAGTAAGGCAAAATCGTATGTTGCTGAACTTTGAGAATTGTTTAGCTGCTGCAGAAAACTTAGTTCAGAGTGAACTTAAAAGTCCATTTAAAATACACATTAATGGTGATGTTGCTTTTAATCCATTGTTGGCATGTCTACATGAGATGTCTTACTGTGCAGTAGGCTAATCTGCTGTGCAGTAAGGCATCGCCAGGTAACCTTCGCAGCAGCCACTGCGCACTAAATTAGGTTAATGTGTGGTTTTCTACTTCTTGTAAATACATGTAGTAGATTGACTGTGCATTAGCTACTGCACAATACTGCTTATGTAGATGCTGACTGGGAGCAAATTTTGTTCCAGTTAGCCACACGGAATTGGGAAGTTCTCTGTCCCCGGTCCCGGTGCTGGTTAGCTCCCCCAAGGAGCCAGAAGCTGATCAATGCCGGGAAGATATCACTCTGTGCCCACCCATCCTGGCTCTGTGCAGCTCCCGGCTCCCCACAGGAGCTGGGAGCTCAGCAGTGCTGGGACTGAGGAGTTATCTGCTTCCCTGCTCGGCTAGGGGCTTGCCAGAAGCTGCCAGCAAGCCCCCACACTGTGTAGGGATTGCCCACCCAGCACAGGTTTGGCCAGGAGCTATCCCTCTTGTGGGGCAGGTGGCAGCAGCCCCCAACTGGGTGGGAATTCTCCACCCAGCAGGACCTGGCTGAGAGCTGTCCCTCTTGGGAATCCCTGTCCCACCAGGGGCTTGCTGACAGCTGCCTCACAAACGGGATAATTCCTGGCCAGCCCCCTGCTGGGCACCAGATTCGCTGACAGCTGTCTATCCTGATATGCACAGGACCCAGAGAGCTCTATCAGATGCAGCAGCCATTGATTCCTGGCCTTGTGCACATCAAGACCCCTCCTGATGTGCATGGGATGAGGAGACAGCTGTCATGAGCCCCATGAGCATCAGGACCAGCCCCTGCGTTCCCTGCCAACCCCCTGGCTAGCATGCTGGGGGAGCCTGGGGCTCCCCGTGGTTGCTGCAGGGGGCCAAAGCAGGGTAGGAGCAGCCCTGTACCAACTCCTGTTTGTAGCAGATTTGTTCCCAACAGGGTGCACATGTAGGCGTGCTTCGGGGAAGGCTTACTACTGCTCAGTAGGCCTGTGTTGCATTAATTGCACATGTAGACAGGCCCACTGTCTTGTGTTGGTAAAATAACACTAAAAGGTAATTTGCTTCTATCTGGGGATTAAATTAAGATTTTCAGCCCAGTTTTTTAGCTCCCAGGTCATGAGTTCTGGGTAGGTAGGATAGCAGAGGGAGAGAATGAGGTGGGGGAATAAGCATGAATAGTTTGAGAGCTAAGAGAAGAGGCTTAGATGCCCTTCCAGATATGGGAAGATAGATTTTTGCTGTTCAAAATACCACCAATTAAGACTAGAAAGTTCATTATTAGTTCTGTTTTTAGAGTATTTAAACCAGTGCAGATTTGTTTCTTTATCAAGACCTTGTGATTATTACTTAAGCTTCTATTTATGGTGGCAAATAATAGTCTATAATTTATCTTTCAAAGCAGAAGTGACATAGAGGTATAGTGTATGTGTATCTTACAGTGTCCCTTGTTTTTTGTAGGAATTAGATAATGTACCATCTGCTGTTTCTGTAAGCAAACTGTAGTAACAGTATTTAAAATAAAAGCTATTTTAACTGTACTCATAATATTTGCTGCTGTGCTTGAACTTCTTGAACATTTTTCTCTGAGCCATCTAATATTATCCTTATCAATTAAATGTATCCAGTGGTCTGTTATTTTGTCTTTGTACAATATACTAGTCAATTACCCGTCAAGAATGATGGTGGGGGAGGGGGCTGGGATGGAGTGCCACGACCTAACACCCCATGCTGCCACTGTTCTGCCTCTTGCAGAGAGCAGGTCCCCTTATCTGGTCCTCCGCATGGCTTCAGAATCATGGCAGCTCTCCCCCATCTTGGAGCACTCATATTCGCTGTTTCTTTCAGCCAGTCAGAGCATGTATAAAGCGTTATGGACAGACAGACAGACAGTCTTAGGCTTTTATAATACAAGCATACCTCGGAGATATTGCAGGTTCGGTTCCAGACCAC